TACTCATTTACACCAACAGGCCTGGTCTCCTCGATCACCGCGTTCGTTCCACACTCAAACAATAGCACAAGATCTCGCGATTTCAGCGACACACGACACATGAATCGCGGTGGCACGCACGTTTGTTTGTCAGCACTCTGGCGCAGAATCTGCTCTCCATGCGTCGCATTTCAATATCTGTATATTGCTACCTTATCAATCAGTTCAGCTCAGCGGCGACGTGAGTCAAGGTTGGTGAACTCAGTTTGTCTCTTTCGCGCCGCGCATTTGGCACTTAGCAAAACTGAACAAAAATGAGCGCAAAACGAAATGGCAATACACAGGGATGACGGGAGGCTGGCTGTCCTCAAGGATTTCCAGTGTGCGTAGGGGCGGTGCGCATATCCTTTCCGAGGTTTTTGGAGGGTGCATAAGTCCGGTACGCAGCCACCTTCTATTTTGGAGGGTGTGTAAGTCCGGTGCGTAACCACGCTCCGTTTTGGAAGGTGTATAAGCCCGGTGCGTAACCGCCCTCCGTTTTGGAGGGTGTATAAGTCCGGTGCGTAACCGCCCTACGTTTTGGAGGGTGTATACGCACAGCCTTTTACTTATGCTATATGGTAGATTATATTGTAACATACAGTAGTGCTCCTTTTTCTTGACATACTGCCGTTTTGATGGAAAATTGGCTATTTTAATTAATCTGCTAGTGAATTTAGCAAAGGAGTGTACAAAGTGACAAAATACAATGCATACAGTGATAGGAAGTGATGCATAGGTTTACTGACTGAAGCCATCATGACACAAAATGTCTGCATCCAGTCAGAAGAAATGGTCCGTTTTGCTGGACACCTACAAGACATCCATGCTTGGATCTTCACATTGGAATGTGAAACTTGAGCCAGGCCAAATCACACTGAATGTTCAAATCATTGACATGTAAAGAGATTTTTCACCATTTGTCTTCCTGAAACTACCTTGGTGATGACATGATTCCTTGAAACATTGGCTCTCTTACCATTGGAGTTGGTGGCACCTGTGTGGTAAGCTATGAGCTCTTGGATTTAGAGGGTATGTGCTGAAATTGTTCCCATGATGCCACTGCTTTGCTGTACATAATCTACCCTTACCCCAGACATGTCAAACATTTGGGTTTTGTGCAATCTGGGCGAATATTGGTGTTATCATCTGTTGCATTTAAATGATTTTCTCTCAGAAATAACTAGTTGAATACATGTGCAATAAGGTAGAACATAACAGAACTATTTTCCAGCATCTACATTTTTCAAGAAGCATATTGCTTTGAATTTTTGCTGATCATTTGAAATGAACACAACAGTGATAACATCTATATTTCATAATGTTGACCTGTGTGCTTCAATAATGAAATATCACTGGCTGCTATGAAATAGTGTTCTGGCTTTGGTTAACAAAAACTTGAGTATAACATGCTCATGACTCCAGCATGCTTTTAACATGCTTTCAAAGGAATACTTGTGGTCTCACATGCAACTTAGGTGTAACCATTGGCTTGTAGACAGTGAAATGGGAAACTTTCCAAATCTGTGGAGACCCTAACAATAGACACCAAAAATAAACAATCATTCCAGCTCCCACATTTGAATGTCTGATGCCTGGTACTAAAGGTTATGGCTACAGAAGATACAGATGACTGAGCCAAAAGATATTGATGACCACAACTAAGCATGGGGTTAGCAACACATGTCCCAGGAGCATCAGTATAGTAGTACATCTCGCTACTGCATCCTAGCACAAGATACTCCGTGCGTGGAAAGGGTTGCCCAAAGTATGACAACTAGGATGAAAGGTTTTGAAGTTATGTGCAGAGTGTGAGGTTTCAAGGTGATTTGCTACAGGACATCAGGACTCTGGTCATTGTTCCACCGTCCATGTGCCTCACACAAGCTGCACTACATTTTGCAAAGAATACTTGCAGCCGGTGTTTATGATAGATCAAAACATGTTGAGAAATTGTGGGAAACTTAAACATTTTCAGGGCATTGAAACTTAAAAAATGACATAGCTTACAAACAGGATCACTGTGATATAGTTGGTCAGACACCAAGTCAGCCATGATAAAGTCAGTCGTCTCTGTAGATTGCATATAATTTTGGGAAGACGCACATTACGTTCTTCCAATGACATCAGCCGATTTTCAAAGGATCATTGGACTGTTCTTTCTTGGCAGGACGACGTGATACACCATCTGGATGGTTTGCCACCCTGAGAGTGGAGGCCAGTCCCGCCGCCATAGAGCAGACGACAGGACCGCCCAGGAAGGCCGCCGAAGGGCCAGCCCTTCAGCCCTTCACGGAGAATCCAAGTGACCGAGTTGATGACGACAGCGATGGCGATGACTTTGTGGATCCCCCGTCACGTCAGATCGTTTGACCTGTCGGCGCCCGCGGTGGTCCGCAGCGTCCCCCCCCCATCCCCCACCCCCTGTGGCTAACCCAACGGCCGGTGCGCACAACACCATGTCGGATCTCCTAGGCAAGATGCAGAAGTCCATTCTTCAAGATCTGGACGATCACCATAAGCATGACACGACATGGCACTAGGCGCTGTCGGCATTCATGACTAACTGGTGCGCCGCCACGTCCTCCGTCCCCCCCCCCCCCCCCCCCTGTCAGAGCCAGCTCTTCGCGCAGCGTCAACTAGGTTAGCGGAAAATCGTGGCCGCCACATCCCTGTCCCCCGGCCGGAGAGGCGGAAAGCCTGTCCACTTCGTGGACGGTAGCGTGTGGCCGCTGGTCGTCCTCCAAAGACCGGAAGGGATAACCACCCGTACCAGCGGTATCTGGGAAAGCGTCGTGTCGCAGCGCCGCACAGTCTGCAGGACTGCGTCGAGCAAAATCGAGCGCTGGGTCGCAGAACATGTCATGTCAAGTTGAGGTCATGGAAGGGCAAGTTGGGTAGTTAAACAAACAACGCACCATAGGAATGTTCTCATGCAGGCTGTTTCTCTCCTTTCAGTGTTATGATCATTGCATGTTTATCAGATGCCTTGTCCTGGAAATATCCCGGCTTTTCAGTAAATGCCTATAGCTACAAGCTTAGGCTTAGTGGGGCTTTACTATCTGAGACCTTTCTAGTCGTTCCAAATACAGAGTTTGAGGTGATGGCACGCATTCAAATCGAAATGTGCTTGAGTAAGTGTGCAAGATATCTGGTGTGCGCATGTTTTGAAGAACAGAGGTGGTGCACACAGGAACCTACAATGTTTATCTTGGGGCGCCCAGCCGCTCCCTGCATACCCGTACCTGGTGCCTGCTGGCTCAGGCTGCTGCTGTGCGTAGGGCTGGGAAGGAGTCCGATTTAACCCTGATCGGTCTTCGCCTTCGTTGTGGCTATGGAAGCGGGGGTGGCTTGGTACGATGATGTGTGACGATGGTACGTGATGGTGTATTTCATGGTTTTATGATGCCGATGTGTTTGTCTGCGGACGGGAAACTGTACGCTGTGCTGGGTGCAGTCTCCTTTTTGGCTGCACAAACCGCTTGGACAGCTTGTGAATGTTGTTTTACTGTGTTTGTGAGAAGTCCTTTGGACGGAATGTGTTATGTCTGGTTTAGGCGGAATGTATCTAAATTGTCGTCGATTCCTGTCTGTTAAAGTGTGTTCTGTCGATCTGAATGTACTTGCATGGCATGTTGAAGCTGATGATCTCGTTCATATCAACGCCCACGATTTGTAGGTCTTCGAGTGTTTAGGCGGGATTATTGTATGAGGACCACTGTATCATTGTCATGAGAAGTCAATGACGTCCGGTACAGTGCACCATCTCATTTAAAGGCTATGCCATTAAAAGAGTACAGCCGACGGGGTTCCAAGAAATGATGGGAGGTGTCAGTTGACGTAGCGCGAGACCTGTCTGCTCCAACTCGGATCCCGTGCGTTTGGTATTCTCGTGGGATCATGCGGGATTCTGGTTTTACGTCGTTCTTTGTACAAGTTATGATATGGAATAAACTAGCAATCTAGGCACCTGTATAATTAACATGGTTTAGGTCTCGTTGCTTTCAGAACGGGTATCCAGGAGCGTGCGCAACTACTAATAATGTTTAGTGGTCAAAGATTCCCATCAGAGCTCTGGTTTTGCCGAATTTGTCGAGGAAAGCATTAAGTGCGGGATTGACCGACCTGGGGCACGGTAAACATGAGGTTTGAATGTACTAAATGAATACAGTTGAGTCTAGGTACGGGTCCAAATGTGCATTCCCTCAATTGTTCCATTACATGCCCATTCTCTCCTTATGTGGGTGCCTTAGGTACATTTATAAGAGTACATTTAAGTTCCTATGTCTTTATGTTTTCCTTTGGTATCTGCAGACTGACTAGCAAAAGGGAGTCAGAAATTGGACATGATATCGAAGATATTGCATCGTCCAAAGTTCCTCAAGGAGGCATGCATTCCGCGGGATTTTCATCAGTATGACGCCCTATTTTGTAGGGATCCACGTCTTTACGGCAGAGTAAGGTGGAAGTGGGAGAAAGAGAAGGGGCCGGGCGTAAGATCGCCAGCTCAGCTGCGATTTGTCCGCGGCCCGAGAAGTCGAGGCCCTCGACGAAATGCGATCTTAAGGCGCTGGACCACGTGGCGATCTTGTGACCATTGGACGTCTCTGTTGACGTCTTAAGTGCTTACAAAAAAGAATGCATAAAAACAGAAGAAAGAGGCAAACGCAAAATCGTTGGGGAAGTTTCGCTGCATTTCCATCGCTTTCACCCAATATATGCTCGACAATGTAGGTTTGAGTAATTTCAGCTTTCTTGCTCCAAAACCTTGTTTCTCGTTGTTCTTGAAAGCTAGTTGTTGAGCTACAGTAAATATAAATGTATTTACAAAATGATAATATAAATATGTTTCTCATCACCTCTGATATTTGGTAAGGCAAAACATTTTTGCCAGGGCGTCAGTAGCTGGGACATTTCGCTCAGCACTATTTCTAACACCGCTGTTGGCGGTTGCTGGGATACGCATGTACGAAAAAGTGCGTGCGCCCGCAGCGCAACAGAGGCCAAACACCTAGGTCTTAGAAACGCGTTTTCAATACGTCACTCGTTCGCCGGAAATGTGGTGAAATATGACAAACCAGCCGGAATTGGTCAGCACTGTTCCTCACATTGCTTACATGGGTTGCGTAGAAACGCATGCACGAAAAAATATATGCTTACGGGGCTGCTCGGTGTTTAGTATCTGTGCGTACTAAAAGCCGCCACTTTTAGCACGATTTGGTGCTAAATATGATTTTCCCTCTTCGGAAGTATACGTCCTAAATATTCGTGAGGATGTGTTGGGCTATAAATCTTCCATTTTCATTTACAATGTTCAGACTCCAGAGCTGGGCCTTTATGTTTTTTTTTAGTCAGGGTCTGTTGTTTTGCCTAGACTTAGAAGTGGTTATGTGAATGCATCAATCTGTGTCCAACTTTGTTTTTCAGGTTGTGATTCACTACCGTGCAGGTCCTGCATACTGACAACATATTGTGGCGAAGTGCAGTTAACAGGCTGACTGCCAGAGGTTCAATGCAAGATTCCAGTTGAAATATATCTTCAAATGTCTGACAAGATATACTGACTGTTTTCCACATTTGTCTTATGATGTCTTTATTAAGTCTTTTGTCACCATCATCATTGAGGGCACAGGTCAGCAATATTCACATGCAAGCTGTAAGGCTGGCATCCAAGAAGACAGGAGGAAGCACCAAGTATGGTTCTAACCGCCGTGGGCGGCCCCATCACTATGGTTGGAAGGTAATTTGGATAATGGAGAGAGTCCACTTCAAATACAACATATTTTTGCCTTGACCAAGTTCCCGATGAACTATTCACCATGTTGTGTGCAAAATAGTCTCTGCTTCACAAGACTAGGGCAATCTTCATATATTCCAACACTCCATATATGACATGTGTACACACAAGTGATCTCTGCCCCACTGTGCTGTGTTATGATCTTGTTTGAGGTGAATGGGTTCAGGTAAATGACCTTGTAACCTTCCACTGTGTGCTTACTTATAAGACACCCAACAATAAATATATGTTTGAGGGGTGGTGTTTCATCTTAGCCTTAGCCCTGAAGGGTGGAGTGTCATTTCCCAGTTACAACACATGTGTCTGGATAGCTGCTGTGCTCAATACCTGCACCAGGCTTTTTAGCCTCAATGCTTTATGTCGACTTGTACTGATACACCCTCAGGCACATAAAACCCACTTCTAGCTTCAGTGACCTATATTGGCATTCCTTATGATATTTTTTGGTGACCTTCAGTGACCTGTGGTGCCCTTTGAGAGGCACAGGGTGGCCAGACCATGGTAACCTGTAATGTGCTGCCCTCAGGCGCAGGATGGCCAGCTTGTGACAGCTGGCAGCATTCTAGTGAAACAGCGCACGCTCCGCTTCCATCCCGGCGAGAACGTCCGGATTGGCCGCTCCAGCGACCTCTTGGCTCTGGAGGCTGGCACGGTGGCCATCACCTGTCAGCCGTTTACACCCGACCCAGAGCGTGGCCAGGTATGGGTGCAGCGCGCCTACGCCGACCGGCCGACTGGACGGATCATGTACAAGAAATACTTCCATGTGCTGGTCCGAGAACAGCAGGGCCGTTTCAAGCTGGTGGACGAAGTGTGACACCACCTCAGGCCAGCGTAGGCTGCGACCCTATGAGTGCGTGCATGTGTGTGACGGAGGGATTGTGAAGGGTAGGATGGTTGGACGATCTTGTTGAGAACACATGACAACGTCAGTGGAGCATGAGTTTTGCTGTCCCCACCTGCCTGTGGGGTGAAATGTAGCGCGTAATGCCTCCCCAAATACACCGAATGGAGGACTGCATGCTCGGAACTGGAAGACCCCACACAAAACTAAATGAAGGATGCATACTCAATGAATTGCTTGCCAGCTACAGTCTATGTGTTCGTGGGCCTTGATCTTAGGGCCTTGGTCCTATAGCTGCGTCGCAAGTGCCTGTCGCAGCACTTAACCCACCACTCTTCTAAATACAACGCCATCGCCAGCCACAATAAGACAAACTGGAGCAGGCAAAATCTTGTTTAATTGTTTCAAACAGTGAAAAATGCCTAAATGACAACAGTTGCCCTGCACGTGACAATATCGTTATGACACAATGTGCGAACATCAGGCGTCAGCACATGAAAGTTCACAGTTCCGCGGCAGTGACTTAGACAACCCATGCATAATCACATCGATGACAAACTCCCAACATGGAAGTGTATTCCAGGTCCAACAAGCTAAACCCCCAGCAGCGAAGCCTGGCCCGGGACACAACACGCCAGCGCCGGTCAACACTGACAACAGGCAATACCGGATCCGGGTCGAATCGAACCTACACCACAATTCACCACGCCATATCACTAACTGCGCCGGCTTGGAGGGACGCGTCGCCGCACTCCCCCTACCGCTGTTCGGGGGTCACGGCGCCCCGGGGCACGGGGACCAGCCCAGCCATCCCGGGCGCGCGCGGGCGCACAGCCACACTCGGGCCACCCTCGTCCGATCCCGGGCACAGGCTCTCTGCAACAAATCCGACCTAAAACGAGATTGCGCCAACACACATACTATCACCGGGCGGACTCGTCCACCGACACGATCGCGCTATAAAATACCCTGCACTGAACGCGGGGCGGCCGCCACCAGCGCGACGGGACCGGGTAGTGCCGGCAACGGAGGAGCCAGTCCCTGCCGGGTGAAGCGCGCGGCGTCGGGCCGCGTCCGCACCGCGCTTTGTACTGCCGGCATGCTGCAGCCAACCCTAGCTGACAATCGGCCGACCTAAGGTTAACCTCCAACCGACCCCAGCTGACCTCAGGCTGACCCACGGCCGACCTAAGGTTAACCTCCAGCTGACCAAAGGTTGACCTCAAGCTGACCCGGGCTGACCCCAGGGTGAATGCCGTCGCCATCAGGCGGCGGACCCGCCAGCAGTTCCGGGCCGGCGGCTGACCTCCGGCGCCGGTTCAGCCATCAGTGTCCGGTCAGCGGCGGCCCGACCGACCATCATGAGTCGCGCTGGGCGGCTCGACCCTGCTGACGGCGCGCCGGTCGAAGCCCCGACCCGCCTGCCAGCGGGCTGGCGTCCGCTGCAGACACAGCACAGTGGCGGCGTCACAACACCACGGCACGAGACTGGCAGTCAGACGCGGGGCTTTTCGCGGCAGTAATCAACAATGGTCACATGAGATACGAGCCCAGCTGTTTGAATGACATCATTATAACACATCAGGGGCGCAGGTGACAGGATACGGTGTACCGCGTGCACAGACCGCGACGTCTTCTACGCAGTGAGCTGCGACTCTTGTTATTTCATCACTTGTGCATTACCGCGCTTGTCCTATTTTGTGGAGCACGCACTGAGACTTTACCCAGACCACGACGACCTCGCACACGGAAGGAACTGTACCAGTGGGGGGCCGTCACTTCTATGGCCCCGCCCGACGCCCGGGATGCCCCAGCCTCGCACCACAAAAGACCTGGATTCTCCGGGGATGCGATGAATCTGGATCGTCACCAAGCATCTGATGACAGGCGTCGGCAACATGCGCTAAACGTTTTGGGGAAGTCCCGCATTACCGAAGCACCCGCCCCGTGCCGCACGCTCCCAGCTGGCCACAACGCACGGTACTAAGAGCACAAGGATCAAACGCTCGGGACGGCCCGACAACGATCCAGGCATATGGACCTTGACTGGCATCCGACGGCCGCATCCGGGCAACAACATTTGACGTGACGGCACTGGTGAGCGTGCTGTGAGCCTCCGTCCGAGCCGGTATGCCGCGGAGCCGGCAGCCGGGCGCCTGCTGCCGGCCGCACTGACCCGGCGGGGCGCGGCGGCCGCGCGCCGTCGGCTGGTACCCGTTGACGGCCGGCCGACGGCCGGAGCCTCCGTGCGCCGGCACACGGCCGGGGCCGGGGCCGGGGCCGGGGCCGGGGCCGGGGCCGGGGCCGGGGCCGGGGCCAGGGCCAGGGCCAGGGCCAGGGCCGGAGCCGGAGCCGAGGCCAGGGCCAGGGCCGAAGCCGGGACCAGGACCAGGGCCGGAGCCGGAGCCGGAGCCGGAGCCGGAGCCGGAGCCGGAGCCGGAGCCGGAGCCGGAACCGGGGCCGGCAGGGCCGGGGCTGGACGGCGAGGCGTCACGGCCGGCTGGCCAACGCGACGCCGGCGGCTCGACACCCTCCGCATCCTGGTCCTGTGTGGATGCGGCCGGTCAGTCGGCACCTCACGCCGCCGCAGCCTCGCCGGCTTCTCCCGGTCGGACCTGAGACTAGCGCAGGTCCAGGACCGGCTAAGCACACGCACAAAAACCGGCCCTGTCGCAGCGCTCGGTCTCGCGGCTGTCTGACTGACGCCACAGCCATCTGAGACGCATGCAATCGCACAGAGTTGCGAACAGCAAATGTCAAGTGTGTTCCTTAAAACGCTATTCTCGGATGACACAAACAAACAGCTACCATTCGTGATTCTAAAGCACACTGACAGTACGTTCTCCAGCGTGTATGGTGGTATCAAGGCAATCCAGTCACCCCCAGTACCTAAAGACCAGAAAGACGTTTTCAATATGCGTAGTGCACACATCAAAAAGGACCGCGTTTGAAAGCCGACCCATCAAGACCTTACGACGTACTAGCAGCCAATTGCCCCAGGCACTGATTAACACTACCGCCCTAGTCCTCCATGTCCGTCGCAGCGCGGGCCCGGCGACCGAGCGCGCGGCCCGGTGGACCGGCGCCGCTCACCGAGGCGTCCGACGCGCAGGAGGAGAGTGGTGACGACGAAGAGTGAGGGCTGTAGCTAGCGGCCCGGTGCGGCGTCGAAAACGACTCGCGGATGCCGCGCCGGTACTCCACCACCTGGTCCGTGACCCGGATGACCCGGCCGAGCAGACTGCGGGCCGCGCGCCGACACCAGTCACTGCCAGGAACGCGGGCGCCGGGGTGCGCGGACTCTAACTAACAAACGACAGCAGAGTGAAAAGCGAGACTGCTGGGTGAGGCGCGGCAGCCACGCCACACGGAGACGTCTGAGAAGAGGCGCACGCGCACAGAACCGCATCAACCACGGGCCACGCCCGTCTCATGTGCGACCAGAAAAGCCAGAGACCCAGGAAACCCGCGGGAAGCAAACATTGCGCCATTTCGGGGTCATTTCAACGCAGGTCAGCGGCCATCACATAACGACCGTCTGTGTCCGAAGCGCCGAGAGGTGTGAGACCGGATGCCAATCGGCGCATGCCATGGCCGGGTTGTTGTCGCACCTGGTCCGATTGGGGTCGCACGCGGAGCCCGGACTGAGCACGGCGCTGGAGAGCCGCTGGTACGCGTACTTGAAGGCCTCCTTGACCTTCATCATGTTGTAAGAGGAGCGGCCGATGTCGTTGCCGGCGTTGTGCGGGTCTTCGATGCACAGCGGCGAGTTGTGCACCGAGTGCGCGGCGAACTGCTCCTCCACCTGCGCACCAGCGGACCCAGCCCGGTCAGAGGTCTGAGTTCAGAGACGGGGCATCGCGCCACAGAGCGCTCGACCAGGCCGGCCGGGCCGGCCCATGCAGCGCCGCTGCCGCGGAGGCGCGGACCGCACCGCGCATGACGGTCAGCACAGGTGGGTGGTTACAGTGGCCCGCACGTCAGAGAGCTGGCGGTGACATCGACCAAGTGGTCAGCCCGTCAGAGACCTGGCAGTGACATCGACCAGGTGACCACCTCGTCAGGGAGCTGGCAGTGACACCGACCCGGTGACCAACTTGTCAGAGAGCTCGCAGTGACACCGACCAAGTGACCAGCTCACCAGAGAGCTCGCAGTGACACCGACTCGCCTGGCTCCGGGGAGCATAGCCGTGGTCTTTCACTTTGATGCAGGTCTTCAGGTAGTTGAACTTCAGGCCGTACATCTCGAAGAACTCGATGAGAAGGATTCCCAACTTGCAGCCGGGAAACGAGTCCAGATCCGTCTCGTACGTCTGAAGTGAGAGTGGAAATTGGAGTCGAGCATTCGTAGTTCGTCATGACACGAATACTAGGGTAGGTAGATTCTGATTTTGATTGGACTCGGATATATTCGAATCTTTCCACTGAATCTCAGACCACCAAATATTATGCAAAATATTGGCGACTTAATCCGATGTATAACAAACATGCACATTCGGTTTGTCTAAAGTAAATGTGAACCCAATCAGCACTTTTATAAAGACCCAACTGGTATTTATATAACTTAAGTGCAAATTCCAATGATGGCTGTCAGCGTTTGGCGCATTTATGTATCAACAACATAACACAATAAGTTAACAAGCTAAAAGAATGCTTCCTTCTCAACACCGTTGCGTTCACAGCCAGCAAGGCCCATTCTTCACTTCAGCGCGCGTACCTGGAGAAAGCCGACCGTCATTAAGATGAGACTGTAGGAGCTGATACCGCCGGTAAAAACCTCATTCAGCTCACGCTGCAACAGGAACTGCTTGAGCGCGATCACCAGCTTCGGCATGTCCGGGTACTCCGTCATGTACTGCTTGATCTGGTTAGCCGACACCAGGCCGTTGGTCATGTTGAAGCTGATGTCGACCTTGACCTCTGTGCGCCGATCGGTCAGCTTGATGATCGGCACCTGACCGCACGCAGACACAGCGATACAGGAGGGCCTCCCGTCAGGTCACCGGGGTGTTGACGGGGTGAAGCGTCGCGAGGGAAATGCGGCGAGGGTTGAGCAAAACGGCAACCGTCCCGTCCCATCCCGTCCCGTCCCGTCACATACCGCAGCCTTGTCCAGCACTTTGATGGAGCCGGCGTCGCAAATCTCGGCGCGAATCAGGGCGTCCTTAAGCATCTCCAGACACTTATCCCAGTTCCCCATCACGACGATGTCGATGTCGCTGAAAAGGGGAAGCTATTGCAGTTGCCACACGCCATGACAAACAGCTGGCAACAACTCCACGACCTTTGTTCAAAAGAGCAAGCTGAGCTGCGTCACAGGGCCGTGGCGAAATAATGCTGACGCAGTCCGATGATCACGACGGACGGAGACCCCGCTCGTCCCAGACATCACAAAGGGAAAGTGCATTCCATAAACGTTGTCAACAAACCACAGACTAAACATTATGGCTTGAAAAATGCAGTGAAATATGCGATATGAAAAGGGTTCTCAGCGAATGGTGTTAAGCAAGTTGGCACAAATCCACACCAAAAGTGGAGAAAGCGGCAGTCGTGATACGCACCTGGTTGGGAGGTAAAGACCCGTTTCAAAGCTGCCAAATATGAACACATTTGCTTGTGCCCACAAGCTCTTGATGACACCCTTAATGCCATTGTAGACGTAGTTACGCATGGTGTGCTCCTCTTGTGTCGGAGACATGTACTGGAAGAAGTCCTCAATCTCTTCATGCAGGCTGGAAATAAATAACTATTGTCCCCACATGTGGCATTCATCAACAGCTTGCGTACTACATCACGTTTATCAGTAACGGTGATGATTATGCAAGCGAGACTTGCATTGCAGCATGGGATAAGCAAGGGGACAACAGGCATGACTATTATCACCATACACATGCTCCTTAGACACATGCGGACTACATAAAAACATAATGGAAGTGGAACGGAAGCTGCAGGTATATATAAACGTGCTTCGGGGAGTGTCGGTACTCCTAAGAATGTTGAGAAAGACACTGTGAGACCACATGAACACTGCTGATACTCCTCCAATCATTTTGTGCAGTGAAAGTATGATTTCAAGCACAAACTTGTAAATACAGTAATATATATATATATATATATATATATATATATATATATATATATATATATATATATATATACATTTCCCAGGGCAATGGATACAAATGCTATCCTTCTTGTTTTATCATCAAACAGAGCTGACAGTATTTTAATACCACAAGGACAAGCCCATGCCACAAACTTCTGTCCATGCTGGACTCCCACCATGTGCTTTAAGCTACCTTATAAAAAAGTTTGCAGCTACAATGAAACATGTGCATGGCGTGACACCATCCACGACAGGTAAGGCGCAACACTTGCGCAATCTCCGGAATTCAGACCAAGGTATCAAGATTAAAATATGCCAACATAAAAACTACAGCACGATGTGATGTTTTCAAAAAGAAGTGTATGAAGAAATGTGCCTCAGAAAACCATTGTAAATCTAGCTGTTGATAATTTGTAGCCACATAGGAAACCATTGAATGCTTAAGTTTGAATCAAATAAATAGCCCGATAAGACAGTAGTAATAGCCTTTATCTTCGGAGTACAACCAGGAATATATAGACACAGACGCAATGATATTTCGACACCATGCCTTGATGAAAACGAATAGCAGGATTGAAGCAGATAATTTAGAAAAGCAACAGTATTCACTTTTGCTCTTCGTTTCAATACAGGCATGTTGCCCAAATATCAACGCATTGATATCTACATTCCCTGGTTTTTCTCCGAGGAATAAGGCTATTAGTGCTGTCTCATCTATGCCAAAAACGTTCCTCGCAAATGCACTTGACAGCTTACGTAAAAAAGTTCCGACGTTTAAAGCTGAATCTGAGAGTGAGAGGACGATCTACAAGGTTAAGTGTAAGGTCACAGCGACCTGTGTTTATGACCGCTTTTGTTAGCCACAGCAGTCGGAAGGGAAGTCTACGCTGTACACGAGTGGTTGAATCAGCCGTGTCCTGGCCGATATACTGTCAGAAGACACTACCCTGTCACAAGCCACCGACAGCATCGTCAAAAATCGATCGAAGCCTGAGGAAGCGCAAGCTCCTCTTACACATTCCTCCAAGCACACGAACCCAGACACAGCCGAGCGCAGCAGCGCCGGCGCCCTGCCCAGCGCCGTCCGGCGCGTATGGCCTCAGTCACTGACCCGAGCACACCGGCGCTGTACAGACGGCCGGGCATCAGCCACGGACAGCCGCCGTGCTGGCCCACCAGCTCTGCGCGCCGCTCGTTGAAGTCGACCGTGCACGAGCGGTCGTGCTCGTCGCGGCGGCGTCGGGCGGCGTCGGGCTGCGCGCGGTACGGCAGCGCCGCGTGCACAGCCATGCCGGCGCCGGCCGGCGTCTCGTCGGCCGGCGCCAGGTACTCGGCCGGCAGGTGCTGGTCGATTAGGTCCGGCACGCTGCGCAGCCGGCTCGACAGCTGCAGTCGCTCCAGCTCCTGCTGGCGCCGCCAGATGCGGCCGAACAGGTCGCCGGCGGGCCCCTCCTGCTCCGGTTGCAGCCACGCGATGTCCGACTCCATAGCAAGGCGGCGGCGCCCACACGCTCGCGACGGCCCACGGCTGGGGCTACACCAGCACCTGAGACAGGGCAAGAGCGTGGATCAGTCAGGATGCAACGTATATCTTGGGACACAAGCAATATCTCTCCACTTGGTGTTAAATGTAAATATTCCACATGGCTGCATGAAAAGGAGAGTGCCATCTTCGCTGGTGTCATATAAAACTACAAAAGTCTAAAAGCCCATTTATTAACTCACAAACTTAGTAATAACCTAGTGCGCTTCGGGAACTCTGTGTACAAACAAACGAAAGGCGTCGCGGCGGGCAAGCAACGTGCACCAGATCGAGCAGGTCAATGCCGCCGCGCGACCGAGCGGTTCGCACGACTTAAGGCAAGCGTGGACTAATGACCCTTGTCTTAAGCCCATGATAGTTCGATCAGCGTTAGAGACCCTAATGTGTCCAGCTGAGAGTAGGATTTTTCGTACTTGTGCTCATGAACTAAAAGGAAAATGCTCGCGGAAGAACGTAGTATAAATAGAAAATATTGGTACCTATCTCCGGAGATTTTTAGCTAGAAAAAACGAAGTGTAGCATTCGTCACCGTTTTGGGTGCTCGGTGTTGGGCGTGTTCGGAACCGTGTATCGGGTGTTGAGGTGTGGGAGCCCGGACAATTCATTATTTTGAAATCCTTCGGAGGCAGTGTCTGCACAGCTTCGGAGCATTTCTGGATTTACGCATCTCGGTTTTACAGCACAATATTTTGCTTAAGCTTGCACAACTTTTTTCGCTCGTGATCGTAGGCAAAGTTTGAGATATCAAGTACAGTTGATATAACAAATGCCTCCTCCATTATGCTGTTTAACCAGCACCTTCTGGCATATTTAGCCTCATTAGCTGTTCTTCCTATCAGCTTTTAAAGAAATTGGTGATATTGATTTTGCCAGAAGACCTTCATGCCTTTTCATCACATCAGTTTGTGTAGAATCAAGGTTCATTTTTAAAGTATTATTTAGGACACTGTAAATGTGACCATCAAGGAAATCAAAAGATTCAAAATTCATCAAATTGAGTTAGGCCATCTTAATATGTGCCAGTTAAAGCCTATACATCTAAACTATATGAAGATCACAAAAATATTCAGGAAATGAAGAGATGTTCAGACTCAGCAACTTTGTGTCCATGAAATGTGTTTCAACTGAAACTTGAAAGAACAGGGTGAATACAAAATAATGCTTTCATATTTCCATGATATTATGAGAACTGGGTCATATATCAGTGCACTCTAAGATATACTGAGATGTGAAGATCTCAGTTGAAGCAGAAGATGTGAGTAGGTTTCAAAAACTCATGACGTGCAAACAGATCTGTAGTTTAATACCTTATAACAAAATTATGCCTTATGTAAAATACCACAGTTTTATCTGAACTGAAGACATACAGACACATCATCTGGGCATTGCTTTGGAAACTAACTACTCATCTAATCTAGGCCAAAGATAACACACTTAAAATTTAAACTAACACCACTGCACAATTTTGCATTATGTTACAATGCTCCCATCCAAGGCCATGCAAACTAGGTAGGCATGATGGTTTTTAGACAGATGTTCGGAAGAAAAAGTATGTTTGCATAAAGTCCATTTGCAAATGTTTGTGTGCTAATGTATGAAAGATATTACATGTGCATGCCAGAAGTGAGCGCAGAGAAGCTTGTATGCAAAGGTTTGCAAGCAAATGTTCATAGGGTGTAAAGGGTGTAAGTAAAATAGATGTATTTACTAAAGTAAATCAGGCCAAAACCCATGTAGCTTAAGTTCATACATGTCATAAATGTACCAAATTGTTTGTAGCTAATGTGTATAGCAAACCTGCCTTCCAAGCACAAAAAGGCCTAAGCACTATTAGGTCAAAAAACACTCAAGCATTTTTGCCTTTGGAAGACAGCAGAAATATGTGATTGACAGTCTATTTTTTAATAATGTCAGCAAGAATTTGCAATAATAGCATAATTAATGAGAAGTTCATATTGCCCTCAAAATACTTTTCAAGGGAAATGACTTTCAAAAATTTGCAGAAATTATCTTGAATGAAATTCTGCACCTACGTGTGCCTGGATTGCATCTGCCCATCATGTCAAACATGGGAAATCCTCATGTGAATTCTGCACATGATGTATGTAAAACATGGGAATTTCTCATGTGAATTCTGCACATGCTGTAGGCACCTGATGCAATATATGGATGTTTTTTTTCAAACTGACTTACTTCATAGGAGTTTGTGCCAAGTTGAATATGGATCTACATATGCTTTAAGCCTATCTAATAAAAAATTATCATGATCATCACATTATTATGATATATTTGGCATCAACATCAACAATGTTTATTCCTTATGAAAAACAGCTTTAATTCATATGAATTAGTCTTCACAGGACATAATCATTCATAACTCCTGCTCCATTATTACAATGCAAAAATACATGATACACAGAACATGTGGAAACACGCATCAATATAACAGCAAGACATACAAGCATGTTCATCATAAATCTGAGCACTCAGTTTGGCATACAGTCATCACAGACTTCAGCACAGAAAACTTAAGTATCAGGGCCATATGCTACTGCAAAAGTGAATATGCAGAGCTACTTAATTAAATGAAAACTCTTATAACTTAAATAATAAAAATGCAATTTCTTTTTTTGCAGGATTAAAAAAATTATGCACAGTTTTACCAGACCCGACTTAAACGCACATTAGGGTGAAGTTCAGTGCAACAACATCGCGTGGGCGTCCGGCGCAGTGAACGAATTTCTTGCAGACTTATTCCGGCATATACGTCTGCACGGCACATGCATCGCACCATGGTTCAAGACGCACAAAATGATCGAACTTAAGTGAAACGCCATCCCTGCGTGGGGAAAAAATGTGTTAGCATCCACCTACTTGATAAGTGCAATACCCTAACTCATCCAAACAGCATTACTCTCGAGCATTTACCTAGCTCGGACTCGCTAGTTACCATTACGTTACATGTCACATCACTCACAACATCCCGGCGCAGCCGTTCCAAATGTGCAAGCTGATCACTACAGAAGTGCTGCCAAAAAGGTGCTGAAAATCTGCCAGATTTCAAAACAATTAAAGCACCCCTGAAACTACCTTAACATCAGTTGTCGTGACATTTTTATGGATTTACTTGGCTTTCAGTGCATTTGGCTTCAAGACAGGGGTGTACTTCACTGTTGCATTGGTAGGCATTAGCCCATAACCTGGGCTACAGCCCCAACTTTGAGAAGAGAATGGGCCAAATCTATGAGAAAGCCGTTTATCGGCGTAACTTGGAGGCAAGTTTCGTCAGTTCCACTCTTCAAAGCCCTTTCCTCCCCAGCATCGTCCCTTTAATAGAGATGGCTGCTGACAGAGAGTAAATACACACCCGGGCGGGTGTTCGAATGCCCCCAGCTCGGGTAGCGGGTCAGTTTGAACTCATGAGATCTCAGAAACGAAGAGAGCCTGAGCCGCTAAATTCACAGGGTGCATTGGTCTGTACGTGAAGTCACTTGTATTAAAATTTGATGTTTATAGGTTATAATCTTCGGGTCAGATAAGGTCAAACAAGGTCAGACACCAGTATGGTGTCCCAAGTGCCCCCAGGCCTTTTCATGCAACCACCGTGAACCTAAATGCTTGTTCTGAGCAAAAGTTCACTGGTGCTCATTTAAGGACAGAGACCTTGTTTCACCTTTCGAGGATCATGGTAACCAAAATCACCCAGGATCGTTTTGATTTTTGCATTTGAATAAGCGGCAGAGATTATACTAGGCAGTAAGTTGCAAAAATAAAATGCTGGCCTGGGCCATTTTAGGTCAGTGACCTATCCTGAGCCTGTGAGAAGTCCATGGAGGATTCTTATGGGGTTTCTGTTACCAACAAATTTCAAATGAGCACCAGAAACTACCCCGTGCAGCAAGCTGTAGAGTAATAAAGTAGGTCGGTTTTTATGCTCGTCTCTCCTTTATACCTGACCCTAGGTCAATGGGTTTTGTTAATTCGAGTTTTGTGTTGTCTAAGAAGACATCTCTGAGATGCATGGCTTCGTCTAACACTGCGATGTCGCATCAGACTGAACGATCCTTAGAAATTGTCTTCGCTGAATCCAAGGTCTGACTTTGACCTACCGTAGGTAAGAGACATTACAAAGAATATCTCAATTTATAATACTAAACGATCCGCTATTCAATGATTCATAGCCATGCTGAATTTGGCGCCGGCAAGCCGCGCCCGTTCGGAAATCATTGTGGGAAGGCTGCGCGTATACACCCTCTAAAACGGAGGGCGGTTACGCACAGGGCTTATGCACCCTCCAAAACAGAGAGTGGTTAACATTGTCCTATAAAAGACTAGACAAACTTCTCGACTTTACAAAACGTGCCGCCCAGCAACGCTGTAGAAAGGCAAGCTTTTTTCTGCGGCGTCTAGCAATCATTGGAACCAACCATCTGTTCAATGGCCTTGATTGGATCTGCTGTGTGGGTGCGTTTCGCGGTGCCGTATGGAGCGAAAATGACGAGAAGCTGCTCTGCGATCGGGTGTAGTAAGAGGCAGGGTGATCGGCCAAGACATGGAGATAGCTTGTCATTCCACAAGTGAGTATTTTGGAGCTTGATCGTGCATAAACTGGTGATTTTGTTGTATGCGGGTCTGCGCCATGACTGTCAACCTGCGCATTTGCTGGTAATGGAAGTGGAGATAGAAAGTTATCTCCTTATTTTTTTTTTTGCTCTGATACGCTGTGTACTTTCCTGCTATCATCTAGGCATTTATCACAACTGAATCCAGTTGCATCCACCTGTAGGATAATAAATATGCATGTTGGCAAGTGGGAAGATGGAATGAAGAACATCTAAGAACCAGAAGGAAAATACCTTTCAAGGATGGGCGACATCAATGATTATCACTTCTGAAAGGCTGTCGTGTGCTATTCAACACTGATGGGGTGCTGGTACAGTATTGA